TTTTTTTTTTTTTTTGGTTGTGGGATTTTTTTTTTTTTTTTGGTTGTGGGATTTTTTTTTTTTTCAGGGATGGGGTGAAGGGTTGCTTTTTGTGGTGACGGATCTTTTTCTAAACCTAGGGGTCGGTAAACTTTTTCTGTAAAGGGCCAGATAGTCGATATTTTCAGCTTTGTGGTCTCTGTCACAGCTACTCAACTCTGCCATGGTAGCTTGAAAGCAGCCACAGGCGATACAGAAGTGAATGGGCCTGATTGTGTTCCCATAAAGCTTATTTATGAAAATAGACAGTGTGGGATTTAGGCTGAGGGCCGTGTTTACCCACCTCTGCCCTAACCTACCACAGTCCTTCCTAAGTAAACTGGCACCTGCCTTGTTGCATTTACGGTTAAGCTTGAGATTTTTTTTAATGCCAGCTTTGTAAAGGCAAACGTTCCTTTCATGATTTGAATTTCAGATCAGTCTTAATTGGTGTTTATGTGTGAAGCTCTTTCAGAAACATAGTTGGTGAATTCAGTTTGCAGAAAGTTATTTCTTAGTGAGATTGCTAGCCTTGCTCCTCGAGAAAGTGCGGCGAATGGAGTGATGGGAATAAATCCATTGAGAACAGGGCAAATGAGAGCAAGTTAGTTCTTGGTAGTTCTTACCAAGTTTGCTGGGGATCCTGTAGGACAACAGTGCAGTTTGATCATAAGCACTTGATATTCATGTAACATTTAAAAGCAAGTGAAACTAGTGAAGTAATACTTCTAAATGTTTCTGTGTTGCAAAGGCCGTTTCTTTTCCAGACATGCGACACAGAGAGATCTATAGAAATGCTTTTTAATTTAACCTTGTGTCTACAAAATTGAACACCTATTTTTGCCTGTTTTACCATATTGGTTTCCTTGTGAGGCAGACCTGGCTGGGAATGCTAGGGAGGCTGGACCGGTGCTGCTTGCAGGTGGCCCTGCTGCCTGGCAGTACCAGTGTTACCTGCAAACTTGTTCATGCAGAGTTCCAGCCCCCCGCCGCCGCCCCAGACCTGCTGCATCAGAATCTCTGGGGGTGGTTCCCAGCATATTGTGCTCTATCAGACTCTCCAGGAAAGGAGAATTATTTGGTCCAGCACTTTTGGAAAATGCTGCTTGAGGCGTTCACAGTGTCCGTTCACATGGCAACAGTTGTTGAGAATTCCCGTAGAAAAGGAAGCTTTTTCACCACCGCCTCGCTTTCCCCAGACCGACTTGATCATCAGACACCCTTTGAGGAGTGATGGTACAGCCCAGGGCAGAGCTGTTCTCAACTTGGAAGTTGATAGAGGACCCGCATCTGAATTTTTTAAATACTTGAAAGTAGAAAACCCATTCATTTCCATCTGAAAGCCATCCCCATTTATGTGGTTCATGGTTTTTCTTGTCCGTTTCCTTTGTGCTTGTGTTGTTTCACTCACCTCTCTGCATTGTCTTCATACCCCCACTGACCACTCACTCTGCGAACAAAACAGGCCATCCTTTCAGGATGACAGGCCGCATTGGAAAGCATCGGCCAGTGGAGATGACAGCCATTTCGATTATGTCCACGACCAGAACCAGAAGAACTTAGGAGGAATGCAAAGTATGATGTATCAAGATAAACTCATGACTGCACTTTGAGAGACTGAAGCGTCTTACTTCCATTCACCATCATAGTTTCGTTACATCCCATGGAAAGTGTCTTGGCATCCCGTGGACGTGTTTGTAGAAATGTCTTCTAGGAATAGTTCTGCAAGGTGTTTTCCGTGTCTGTGTAAATATTTGAAAATAACCCCAGTAGGTAGCCCTAACTTACTGACTGCATTCTCAAAAAATGAAGGTAGTTAAAGGCTCAGGAATCGTTCTGATATTGTGATTTTAAAATTGGAGTATAAGTCTGTGTTTATCGTATTGCCGTGTACCTGTTGTTTCTTTGTTATTTAATGAATGGGACCAAAGAAAACCAGAAAAACTTGGGAAGATCGCTCCGTAGAGAGTACCATATAGTACAGTGGTGGGAATTGAGGTCACTGGGGGCCCAACCTCTGCCATTGTGTGATCTTGGACAGACCATCTCCCCTCTGTTGGCCTCATTTTCCCCGTCTGAAAAGAGCAAGTTGGACTAAACGATCACAAGGTCCTCTCTGGCTCTACAGTTCTGTGATCTATCAACGTTTCATATTCTTAGGCTGAGGACATAACATTCACACCTTCTTTAACAGAGGGTTACCTCTTTCAAAAGCTGAATAAAGTATATAACATGTTAAAGGTTATATCAATACAGGGAGATTTTGAATTTCCTATCTTAAAGCAGTTTAGTCATTTTGAATTCTCGCAGGTTTATTAATCAGAAATCACATAGCCTTTATTTTTATAGAAGTTGCTGCTCAAGTACAAGAATAATTTTTTAACGTCTTAACGATTGGTGCTGCTAACTTGCGTGCTTTCAGAAGACATAATTGTGAATGCACACTGTCAATGTATAGAGTTCAAGGGTTGGTTTTTATCCGAGGCTTCATCCTTTTAAGAAGCAACATGCAATATGAGATGCATTTATGGCTCAAATTGAAGCGTGTAAAATTTTAGTGAAGTTGTGCCAAAGCATCCCGTGCAAGAGGATAGGAGGGTGTTGCACAGTCTTTCTGTAGAACCAGAAATCAATACGTTGCCTTTTAGGGTAGAACTCGTACCAAACTCTTTATTTCCCACCCCCGTTTCAAGCCCCCGAGTAAGACCTCTTTTTCCTCCTGTTAAGTAGGCCTGAGATACTTTCCTTAGTATTTTTGTGAAATCAATTCTTGTGCCTTTTTTTTTATATATATAATTGTAATTTGGCCCTTTTAAGCCTTTTTAAAGAAAAATGTGTTTCCCTCCCTTGAGATAGTTTATTGCCAAAATCTGATCTTTTTTTTTTTGGTTACCACAAAAATCTATCCAGAAGGAGGGAATCAGCTGCACACCGTGCACAGTGGAGTTGATCACCTATAAACGCTCCCTAAGATACATGTTTACAGGTGTATTTCCTTTTAGCAGATGTTTTGGTCCTCAGTTTACGTGCTGCATACAGATAATTGTGTTCTGAATCTTTTGATTTCATTGATACATTTTTACAAATGTGTTTGTGAGGAATAAAGATTATTCTTGCTTTTTTTTTTTTTTTTTTGACTCCATCTTCCTTTTATGCTGCACAAGAGGTATCATTTGTGGATGAAGTAGGTGATGGGACTTTGGAAGTCTGAAGGTGAACATTCAGTTAGGTGGCATGGAGCAAACTCATCCTGGAATGAGGTTGCTCTTAGGAAGGGTGGCCCTTTTTGTAGACTCCGTGGCTGAGGTGTTTATTCATCTGGGGCAGCTTCGGTGAAGGTTCTGATCACAGGTGGCAGTGGGGCTCCCGCTGTAACAGTCCTGTGGTGAGGGTGGGTGTTTGCCCTGGTGATTGCTGCTGTCCCGGGACAGAGACCTCCAAACCTGTGTCTGTGGCCTCCTGGAGATTGTGTATGCTTATCTAATAACCTCTAATAAATACCTTTCTGCCTGAAGTACCTTGAGTGGATTCAATTGTCTGCAACCAAGAGGTCTAACCAGTGTGCATACATGTTAATTTTTAAAGGAAGTGTACGGTTTTCATCCTTCAACTTGGCGGAACTTTCTCTACTGCATTTGACAGCGGTGACCACTCACTCACAGCTTCTTGAAACTAATCTCTTGATTTCTGTGATCTCTGCTTCTCTAGCCCTTGGACTTTTTCTTCTGTCTTTGTCACAGCCTCTTCTGTCTTCCTGTTAAATATTGGTGTTCTCCCAGGGTTCTTCCTCTGCCCACTGCTTTTCTCCCTGATCACAGTCTACCTGCCCTTCTCATCTTGTCAAGATTTTATAAGTACTGTTGACTCTGAAGCTATTATCTCTAATGCAAACTACTCTGTGAGGTTTTATACTGACATTTCAACCTCTGTATCCTTGTACACCTCAGACGTCACATGGCAAAACTTAAATTCATCCTCTTTTACTGAAAAAAACAAACCACAATAACTTCACTTGAATTCTCTTCTTTCTCACCAGGGTAAGCATTTATACATCATCCACAGCTCCTCTCCCTTTTGCCGCCCACGTCCAGGCAGTCCTCAGGTCTGTTCTGCTTGCCTCCTTAGTATTTGTATGTAGCCCTTCCTCCCTCCTTATCAACACTGATCTTGGAGTAGCATCCTCTGCCTGGCACTGATCTCTCTGACTCCAGTCTCCCGACGAGCTCATTCTCCTCGCAATCACTGGAGTGATCTTTCTAGAACACCGTCTGATTGCGTCCTTGCAGTGCTTGATATCTGCCGGGGTTCTCCATGACCCACAAGATGAAGTCCAAGGCCTTCTCTGGAATTCCCCCGCTATCTGCTCCTGTCCTGTTGCTCTAGCTAGCGTATTTTTCCCCCATTTCTCACCCTCCTGTTTAAACTCCTACAACACCAAACTGCTTGTAGTTCCTGGCATTCACCATA